TAAAACTTAATATTTTTTATATTATATTTTAATTTTTTTACTATTTTCTTGTATTAATATATTATATATTTATTTTAACTTTATTATAAAATATTGTAATCGACTAATTTTTCAATATGTTTTTTTTTTTGTCATTTTACATGTTTATCAACTAGATTTTCCCAAACATGATTTATTCATAAACTAACTTCAACTATTAGCTAACTTATCAACCATCAACTAACTTATCGGTTAGTTTGTCAAAAATACCATGAGGCCTAATAACACCAACGGTGACTTGTTAACTATTTGTGTGCGGTTACCAAACAACGGACTCATCCATTATTATCAATATATTCACATATACACATACACATATACATATATACACATTATATGCGGTTACGAAACAATACACACATATTATCTATACGTACATTCACATATATACATGCAAATAAACATATATATATATATATATATACAATAATATATACATAGATCCAATCACGATTAGCAAAACATGATGTATACGAGAAAATTAAAATGGAGCAAATACCGAGTCAAAACACTTAAAAACACGACAAAATGGATTTCTAAGAGGTGGTGGAGGAATTTGTTTCTTTAATTACTTTTTCTTATTCGAATTCTTCTCCACTTTAAAAACACGATAAAATGGTGATAATGATATATATATATAGGGTTGGGTTCACATGATACTAAAGGTTTTTCATGAGACCCGTAAAACCAATTTATGTTCATTGATCAACTTTATAAGCTAATGATCTAATTGTCTAAAGTTGTGCGGTGACGATTTTGTGATTATTGAGAAGTCTCGTGGCGTTTATGAATGTTCAAATTATCATATTGTAGATTTAATCCAAGGGTTGAGAATTGATCTTACGGCTCTCACGAAAAACCTTTGGTCTCACATGATCTCAAGTCTATATATATATATATATATATATGTATGTATTCTAATTATACGACTGTAAAAATTAGTAAACTATAGGGACCAAAAATGAAATTGTATTTCACTCTTTATATATAGTACGTAGTATACAAGTGCCAATGCTTGTAGCAAGCAAACACATGCAATTGAAGAGAATGAGTAATTCAAAGTTGTTTCTCTTCTTTTTCTTCCTCTCATTTGCCTCTTTCTCTTCCTCTTCCTCTTCCTCTTCTTTCAATAACACTCATAGATGTTCATTTGAAGAGAGTCATGCTTTGTTTATGTTCAAACAAAGTCTTTTTTCTGCTAACCATGATATCGATGATTCTATTTACAACGATTGTCAAGATTGGCTTGGTTCCAACTATTATCCAATTATGACGAATTAGAACACGAGTACTGATTGTTGCAATTGGGATGGTGTTACTTGTAGCCATTTTAATGGTGATGTTACTGGTCTCGACCTTAGCTGTGGTATGTTACAGGGTACCATCCATCAGAACACCACCCTGTTCAACCTTCCTCACCTTGAGAGACTCGATCTTGCTTTCAATGATTTCACTAATTCCCATCTTCCAAGTGAAATTGGTCGGTTTTCTAATAGTCTCACACATCTCAACATCTCTAAATGTGGGTTTGTAGGTCAAGTTCCTACTGACATAACATTTCTTCGTAAATTGGTGTCTCTTGATCTCTCTTCTAATTCTTTTGGCGTGGGGCTTGAACCTCGTGTTTTCAACAACTTGCTTCAAAATTCTACTCATTTGAGAGTCCTTTCTCTTGCTTATGTTAATCTCTCTTTAGTTTTACCCACATATCTTAATATCTCTTCTACTCTGAAATCACTCGATCTTAGATCTACTCATTTGCAAGGGAAACTACCTCAAAACATATTCAACCTTCAATATATGGAAAACCTTCAACTTTCAGAGAATTACATAACTGGCCAATTGCCCAAAGTTAACGCAAGTGCTAACATCCCTCTTAAGCACTTACATCTCTCATCGAATGACTTATCGGGGGATATACCTTTCTCGATTGGCCATCTCGAGTCTTTGGAAACTTTAATCATCTCTTATTGTGGTTTCATGGGTCCCCTTCCCAAATCCATGGTTAATCTCAGGCACCTTACTACTATAGATTTGTCGAGTAACATGCTTAACGGAACGTTGCCTTCTTGGTTGTTTACTCTTCCCTCACTAGAAATAATCGATCTGAGTAACAACAAGTTCCATGGTAGCTTACCATTGGAGATGTTCAACCATCAATCGTTAAAGAAATTATCCCTTGGAAATAATCAAATGGTTGGCAAGATTGATGTCCTTGATCATGTTCCCACATTACAAACGTTTCAAAAGCTCACCAGCCTTACGGTCCTAGACCTTTCATTGAACAATTTTACAGGTCACTGGGAGTTGGAAACACTGTTATTGAATCTCAGAAACCTTATATCATTCGATCTTTCATATAGTGGTTTGTATGTTATGACCTACAATGCTAATGGCTATATCAACCCTGATTTTCGATACTTAGCACTGAGGTCTTGCAAGTTAACCGTGTTTCCAGAGTCTTTACGGGCCATGAAAGATCTTTGGTATTTAGATCTATCTAGCAACGCGATCCGTGGTCATATTCCTGATTGGGTAGGGGAGATAGGAGGAAATGAGCTTGGGTATTTGAATCTCTCACATAACTTCATAGAAGGATTGCCGCAACTTCGATGGTATGGACTACGCCAACTGCATCTGCAGTCCAACAAGATTCAAGGACCCTTCCCTCCATCTATTTGCAACATGAGCATTCTAACAACTTTGGTTATGTCAAATAATAGGTTTGGTGGAGTGATTCCACATTGCGTTGGGAACATCAGCTCCAATCTTAATATGATGGATCTGGGAAACAATCATTTTCATGGCACCATCCCGAATGCATACGAGCATTGTGGAGAATTAGCAGGGCTTATTTTGAATCAAAATCAATTAGAAGGAGAAGTGTCGAGTTCTTTGTTGAAATGCCAATATTTGGAAGTCCTTAATCTAGAAAACAACCTCTTGAATGGCACGTTCCCAGGCTGGTTGGGAGATCTTCCATTTTTGAAGATTCTTGACCTAAATTTAAATAACTTTCATGGTCCCATCGAAACTTCTTCCACACGAAAAGTCCCATTTCCATGTTTGCAAGTCCTCGACTTGTCTCACAACGGGTTTGTTAGTCATCTCCCCCAAAAATATTTTCAAAGTTTCAATGCAATGAAGAATGTGGTAAAGAACCGTGAAAAACCATCATATTTGAGCATTAATGGGTTGCATTATTCTATGAATGTTGATATGAAAGGGGTGGAGCAAAGTTTTCCACAAATTTTTGTTCACTGCACAATTCTTGATCTCTCAAACAACAGATTTGAAGGCGAGATTCCAGACATCATTTGTAGTCTTAAGGCATTGATAGTGCTCGACTTATCCCACAACAGCCTCATCGGCCGAATTCCACATGCACTAGGGAATCTTTTAGAGATTGAATCATTGGACCTATCTTGCAACCAACTCGCAGGAGAGATCCCTAAAAGTCTTGCAGACTTGAGATTTTTGGAGTTCTTAAATCTCTCGCAAAACCATCTTGCGGGTCGTATTCCAATAGGAAAACAGTTCAACACATTTGAAGAGAACTCATTTGGAGGGAATCCAAGACTCTGTGGGCTACCGTTACCTGAAAAGTGTGAACATCCATACAAACCACCGGTTAAAGTCGATGGAGACCCGGAGAGCGAATTTACATGGATAGTATTCATGTTGGGTTATGGTTGTGGGACACTGGTTGGATTGGTAATGGGATATCTCATGTTGTCAACTGGAAGACCAATGTGGCTTAGTGCAATTGTTGATGCAACAGAGAATATGATCAAGACAAGATACATGTACATAGGAAAATGAACTTAGGATCTGAATGACATGTGTTTCAGATGTTGCATGTATGGCATTTGCTAGTTTGTGTCGGGATGATTTTGAATTAAGTGTGTTTTAAAATTAGATTTTGAATAGTAAGTGGTATTGCTTTATGTGTCGATCATACGTTCGTTGTAATTGTTGAGAAAGTTTAAGTCTGCATCGTGGGTCCTACTTATTTGTTCTTATTTACTTAGTCTTTTATTGTCAGTTTCTTTGTTTACCTAGTCAATAGGAGTATGGAGTGGAGTAGTGGGTTAGTGCCTATTTTCTAGTACTTTCAGTTTACTTTATTGCCTATCTATAGGCTGCTTTGTTTGTTTTTGTTTAATCATCAGAAATATGAAAGTAGTAGCGTTTGCTTTCCTTCATCCTATGTTTTCTCTATATACTTAGTGTGTTTATTTTTACTCTTCTCTTTATTTTCTTGACAGTAATCGCATAATCACTCCACATACTTCCATAACAAGGTGGCCATGCATATGATATAATCACTACAACAATCTTGAGCTTATTTATACGCTTAAAATGTTTAAACGTTTTAATAGAATATTTTACAAGATTTAAGTTTTTAGAACCAAATAAAAATCGTTATATCTAAAAAGTGTTACAATAGGGTTATAAGACGTTTTTAGTTATTTTAACAAGTTCTGTAAGATGTTTTTTTAAAATAAAGTGTCATATAAGTTATTTTACACGACACAATTTGAAAAAGGGTATCCTATAAAAGGATGAGTTTATAAGACACTTCTCAAAAGTGTATAAAATAGCTAACACGATAATTTATTTTAAGAGGCTTCTAAAAAACTTGTTGAAATGGGCAAAAGTGTCTTATAAATCTATTGTAACACTTTTAGATATAATGCTATATAGTTTTATCCTATAAACTTAGGTCCTATAAAATATCATATTAAAACGTTCAAGACATTTTAAGCCTCCTATAAACTCAACCTTGTTGTAGTGATAATAACATTTGGTTAGATCATTTAACTAAAATTTATTAATATAATACTTTATATCACATAATAAATTATGGGCAAGCACAAATTCCTTATCTATGCTATATTATAAAGTATTTGACAAAAATTCTTAAAAACCATTTTTTATGCACGAAGTACTGTTTATTGATGCATATTACTTAAAATTTAAGATTACAAGTAAATTGTGCATAAGTACAACTTACTAAACCTCCATATTTGAATTCGTGTAACTAACTGCAAATAAACATAATCAAATATGGGATAAACATCTCATTTTAAATATAAAAAATCTAAAATATAATCAAGATAATTATCAGTGCTAACAAAATACTTAGTTATTATCTTTATAAAAAGTTATATTATTAAACCTAAATTAAATTTCTTTGTTACTAAACCTAAATTAAATTATAATTAAAAAATTGAATTAAGGAAATTACACCAAAACACAAGAACTTTTAAAAAGATTAATTTGATACTGATATCGATATTTTTTTTAAAAATTTTATGATATTTTTTAATTTATGTTTTATTCAAAGATAAAAACATTATCGCTTTCTCAAAACCACATAAAACCGTATTATATCGACATAAAAAAAAGAATAAAACAAAATATTAAAATCAAGATATATCTCGATACATTACACGAGTACCTTTTAGTGATGTCTAACACAAATACATTCCACTAAATTCATTTCATATTTATCATTATTTTATCATATAATGACAAATAAATAATTTAACATTATTAATTTATATATATTAAATATATTTATTTCACAAAATTCAAATATATTTATTTTACCTAATATTATTTTTGTATCTCACTTTTGATTCTTGATTTCTAAAATGCAGACTCTGATCTTCTCTTCGACTCTATACGTTAAGTCTGTTTTATTTATACGTGTTACAGTAAGTTGTTAAAACAAAGTTATACAACATAACAAGTTATATGCTTATACATAAAAACAGTAATCCGTAAAGAACACGTTGTACAACCTAACGATCCTATTAGCCTTTTTATTAGACACTTCTTAGAAAAAATGTTAAAAGGTAAACAAATAACCTGATTTCTCTTCCTTTTTCTGCAACATGACGAACAGTCAGAAGATTACAGGACATTTTCAGATTACGTTTTTCATTTGTTTGGTACTGTTTAAAACTATTAAAGTCATCTTGAAACTGAATTTGTATTATTTCAAGTTATTGTTTATCTGTTAATTGTATTTAAAAGTCTAAATAAGCATACGACAACATTAGACAGTCAAAACCCAATTCAAATAACTGATTAAACATTTAATTACTCTGTAGTCTTTGTTAAAAAAACCCATAGGGTGCAAGAACCTGTGGCCGCACCAAACCCCATAGGGAGGGCTTTGTCGGTTCTATGATTATTGGCGATGGGTCTAAACCATGTGAATTAGTGGGGACTTCTGGTTGTTAATACCGCTTTTAAAGAAGTTTTAATTGGTTGAATTGTATTACTGTTCTAGAATTAAAACCCAACCAACGACATTGGGAGAAGCTTCGTCGATAGTGTTGTTCTTCGTTACATTGAATTGAAGTTTAAAAAAATTTGCACAAATGGAATTTGACAACTACATTACAATAGAACGGGGTTTTAGGATGCAAATGTATCATAACAGATTACTTGATGTGTCTTTAAAGTTATAGGGCCAAAAACAGACAAGTCGTATCTAAATACAGTACAATACGTTGTTAAGATAAAGTTAGATGCAGACCTAACAAATTTTATCATCCAGTACCACGAAATTGGTGTCTTAATAAAGTACTTAACGAGAGTTTAAATTTATAAACACCAAAAACTGTCATCGGTCATCCTATCTAAAGGCGTTGTAATAAGTTGTTAGGACAAACTTAGATGACATTACAGGTTATTAAACTCTTTATACCAACCCCTCCTATATTACAAGTTATTACAACTAAGTTGGACAACCTAAAAGGACATAAAAGATAAGTCGTCTGTAAACTCTTCATACCAATCCCTCCTATATCTCAAAACAGATTTAAAAACAAGTTTCTATATACTCATAAGTCACATCTTGTAGGGGTATCAACAATAATTTGTTGGTATACAGTATAGAAAAAAAAATTACATGGTATAATGACATTCATACCCTTGTTTTGCATATAGAAACTTGTTTACATAACTTGAAAATCAAAAGTGGAATTTTCAGCGACCCTGCATCCAGTTGAACGTTATACTTTTCCTAGAAAAGATCTTTGTACCCGAGGGTGGATTTTGGTATTGCCTAGAGTATCAGGTGCCACCACATTACTGTTGAACGAAGGAAGACTGGTTTATGACCACATTACCATTGAACATCTTGGTTTTTTTTCCTTGTTCGATAAACGAACATCAAATCCTGCAACCTCTACATACTTCCTATATAAAGTTTCCGCCAACTCGTGTGTCATGAAAAACTCGTCAACTTTTGGTTTCAAAACATCAACCCTAGGAACGTAATATCATACACGACAATAGTAAATAAATGGCAGAAAAAACAGTTTCCATGCTTATTACCATGAACTTAAACTCTTGACAGCCAACTATTTGGTTCAAAACTAAACAGTAGAAAACCCTTGGGTCGAATAATATGATAAAAAAGAAACTTGAAAATGATATGATATAACACAATTTTTGCTTAATTACTTGGGGGTTGTTTGTTTTCTGAGAAAAAAAAGCACTTAATACCTCTTAAAATCTGAATCAGTTAGACGTTTTTGTTTTCAGACCGTTTGTTTTTTTATTTTTAAATAAGAGCTGAAAAGCTGTTATGTTACTATGAATAAAAAAGTGATAACCTAATCACTTAAATCCTCCTAATTGCTCCTTCTAGACTCTCAACACGCTTCATCTCAGACACTCCATCCCGGATTGATTTGTCCAAGACGACTCTTCCTCCCGGTTGATTTGTCCAAGACGACGACTCAAGCTGCTTCTCTAGAATCGATCATATATCTCAAAATCTGTTAGGGTTCTTTACCCATCCTTCTGCTCTTCAAACTTCCACCAAGTAATGGTTAGGGTTTTTGTGAATTTACATCTTCTGGTATTTTTTTCATATCTTGCTGTGATTTGTCGATGGTTAGGGTTCTTATGCATCACCATTGTTGAGTGTTTGTAGAGCTCTAAATCCACTTTAGAGATAGATTCAAATTAAAGAACACTAACAAACACAAATAAGTAAGAACAAGAAGGAAGATTCAAAATCTGTGCTTCTTAACATAAACTGAAATCTCTCCAGTGATCCGCAAAACAAATATATACTAAAAAAACATATGACATGAACACACATACCATCTTCATCTTCATGACTATAAGTATTATTTGTAGGGCTTCGATTCACATCCAAGGACGACATCTGTGACGATAAACCAGCGTGAAACCTGCTTTAAAAATCATCGTTACCAAACACCCTCATTCGTAATATCAGATGGATACATTATGGTGAGGAAAACGGTCTTGCGCATGATGGATCATCCACCTCCAGAGCCCCTCAGATATTCATTTTTAAGTTAGGTGCCGTTTACCAAACGTTTATCCGGGTAAGCGCCTACCAAGTCATATTATTTTAACGGATGAATATGACAAGGACTAAGAATCTTACCGGTAAGAGCGAAGACAAGAATCGAGAGTCTTACCCGGTAAGTGAGGGCGATGACTTTTACCATGGTTATTGCTTAACGGGATAAAATGTTGCATACTACGTTTTGGTGAATAAAATCTTACTCGGTAAGTAAATGATAATGTTGAATTTTACCGATAAACGATTACCGGGTAAGTTTTTAGGTAAACGGCCCCTTAGTTTTTTTTAATAAATTATTAATGTTATTGATATAAATTTTTGTCAAAAATAGTATTATAAATGATGAAAAATGAATTTTTACATGTTAAAAAATCAAATAAGTTAATAAACAATCCGAAACACTCCCTATAAGTCAATAATACGAAAGAATGTCCCTTTTGGTCATTTTACATGTATAAAC